TGATGTCGGGAGAAAATTAAGATTCTTATATTCTTCTACATCACAAAGCTACAAAACACCTGCATTGCTTACAAGACATTGTCGCTACAGCTGCTGGAGCGTGGAGAAAATGATGTACTTCATACAACTGGCTGAGGGCGAAAACATGCTAATATTGGACAGTACATCAGCGGTTGTGGGCGGGGCCTGAACAATATGACATCATACTGCTCAGAAAATCAAAACGGCTTGATAATTGAGACTGTTTAGGATTTTGGGGGATTAAAAAAAAGGAGTGAATGGATTTTTATCATTGTAGGGTGGTTGTGTCCACATACTGCTAAGATACATTTATATGCAAACACCATGTAAAAGTGAATTTTGCATCCAATGCCTACTTTAAAATTGAAATATAATCTTAATTCAAGTGATGAAGGATTTCAAAAGTGTGACAGTAATCAGTGTTGAGTATTACTGTAAGGTATACCCTGCCTGTTTTACATGTTTGAAAATGATAAACAATTAAAAAAAAATAGAAATTTAGAAAAGTAATCAAATGTAATCAGTTACATTACTTTAATAAAGTAATTGAAAAGTTACACTACTTATTACATTTTAAGTAGGGTAACTTGTAATCTGTAACCTATTACATTTCCAAAGTAACCTTCCCAACACTGATGATATCTGATTACATGTCTGCTGCTACTGACATCACGTCTAGTTAGTCAGATGTAGGTAACTGTATGTTCATTCCTATGCTTTAGTCAAGCTAACACCATCAGGCACAGATGGGAAAGCATGGAAGATATCAATCTTCATCTTTGAGGCGAGCCTTAAACACACTGCCAGATGCTTTTAAAGCACATTTGCCAATCTAAATAATTCAAAGCTACTCTGACTTATTCCGATATGCAAATCTGGTGAGTTATATATATATATTTTTTCAGGATTCTTTGATGAACAAAAAGTTCAAAAGAACAGCATTTATTCAAAATAGAAATATTTTGTAACAGTATAAGTCTGTACTATCACTTTTTATCAATGTAACATATCTTTGCAGAATGAATACATTATTTTCTTTAAAAAAAATACTTTGTGAATGGTAGTGTATAGTTACAAAATATTTTTTATTATTTTTTATTAAATGTTCTTTTTAACTTTCTATTCAACAAAGAATTCTGAAAAAAATTAATAAATTAAGCAGCACAACTGATTCCAACACTGATGATAAATCAGCATTCTAGAATGATTTCTTAATGATCATGTGACACTGAAGACTGGAATAACGGCTGATGAAAATTAAGCATTGCATCACAGGAATAAATTATATTTTAAGGTACATTAAAATAGAAAACAGTAATTTTTCATTGTAATAATATTTCACAATATTACAGTTTTTACTGTACAAATAAATGCAGCTTTGATGAGCATAAGAGACTTCTTTCAAAAACACTGAAAATACTTTTTTTTTCAGTCAATTAAAAAAAAATAGAAATTTCAAAAAGTAATCAAATGTAATCAGTTACATTACTTTTATAAAGTAATTGAAAAGTTACACTACTTATTACATTTTAAGTAGGGCAACTTGTAATCTGTAACCTATTACATTTCCAAAGTAACCTTCCCAACACTGACTATAACACATGAATATATATATATATATGGGTGAATTAAGGGTGATTGGGACAGTTTTTGAATTTCCGACTTGAGCAAGGTTTACATTTCTGTAATACTGAAGATGTTAACTACCCATTTGAGGAGGAAACAATGTTATATTATGATGAAAGGATGCATGACATACACTTTTCTGTAAATTGAGCCAAAACATTTTTTCATTGATTTAGGGTAGTGTAATAATATTTACTGTATTGCACAATATTTGTCAATATTTCATTTTCTGTTCATCATTATTAAGAGTCCATGTTTATTTCTGTTCAACTTTATTTCTCACTTCATAAATCCATCCAAAAATTCATACAATACAACACATGTAACTGAGGTAAAAAGTAAAAAAAAAATGCTTCAGGTTCAAAAAACAAATTGTTGGGTGGCCCCATCACCAATTAACTGTTTGACAAACACATTTACCCTGCACAAACCTTTAACAGAAACATGGATATGGTTTATTACTGCAACAAAAAAACATTTAAAAAAGTTTATCTATAATGCTTCTATTTCAGAATTTTTATTTGAGCAAAAATCTAGCTAGTTCATGTATATTTTTGTGGTTAATTAGGGCTTGCATAAATAACAAGGTTGGAAACCACTGATTTAGGGCATACAGATCATATACAATGGTTCTCTATTACAAGGTAAATCATTTTCTTAATTAGCAAAGCCTTTAAGCACGTGTCACAATCAACCAAAATTATGCTGTCCCATCCACCCAAACTGTGCTTGGGTGGATGGGACAAAATAAAAACAACCTAATTCGGAAAATAGAAACATGATATTAACACCTTTTTAATGATTTTGTAGAAGTAGTGCATCATATTTATGTTTCCATCAAAAGTTTATATAATATAGTAGCTATGACAATTTTAGGACCTTATTATGAAAACTAGCAAAAGCTTATGTCATTTTCCTGCATTTCATGGTCAACTTCCTGTTTGATGCATGCCCCGCCCACCTACATGATGTCACACCAATGAGAGCATCCCATTTTAATTATGTGGTCTTACACCTAAGACTCTGCAAAAAAAGTTTTTATTTTCACTCATTAGGTGAGAAAATAAATTCTGTATAGTTATACTTTCCCATGTTACCTCATGTCCCAATCACCCTTAATTCATATATATATATATATATACGAAAACATATACATAATTATGTATACATTTAAATGGATAGGCTGCACTGATGCTGCATTTTATTTAAAAAATGCCTTATGATCATCAAAATGCTCCTCAAGGGTCTTTTTTGGAAGGAAGGCTTACGTTTCAATAAAATCAATTGAAACTGCTTTCAAAAGCATTATTGCCATTGGCATTAAGTTCACTAAACATGCTTATCACACGTTCAGAGGTATTATCGTTCCTTAAGGTAGCTCTAAATTATTTCATGGCTAGTCCGACCAATGCATTTATCTGTAATCAATTGTGCGAATGATCATTAGTGGTCGACTGGCAGTAAATCATGCAGGGCTTTGCATTTGCTCTGTTAATCAAAGGAGCATTTGCAATGAGCGGTACACTTCCTGCCGCCCTGTAGGAAAGCTTGTTTTGCATCTCTAAGGGTTGTTGCACTTTCAGTGCTCCCTACGAAGATCTCTAAGAAAAACATTTGTCTTTGACGATTCTTGTAAAATACTACTTTTGTATCAACAGTTTACGGAAGGGCTTAAACCAGCACTTAGTGTCCACACTCAAACCTCACAATAGATGACGGCTGTAATCAGCCATTTGTGCTCAAAAGCAGCAGCAGCTCCTTGAACATCTCTGTCATTTCCTTTTCTTTATCTCCTGTGATTGTTGACACCATGTCTGTGATTCACCATAAGCAGAAAAAAAAAATCTACCAAGGACATGTTCGTAATGCATCCATTCAACCCTTTCCTGTAGAGATATATGACTTCTGACTTCCTGATATATTAAAGATGTCAGCAATTTCAAAGAATACCACGCATAAATTGTCTAGTGAGAGGTGAGAGAATTACTTT